CGCGAGCACGACGCCATCCATCGCCCGGTGGTTGTCACCCAAATGCGGCTGTTGTCACCCAAATGCGGCTTTTGGGCGAGACACAGGCACCATGCAGCGCAAACAACTTTACAGGGGGTGTCAGCACCTCCACAATTGAAGACGCTTGCACTCAGCTTCCTGGGCTCGCGTCTCATCAGTGTTTCCAGCGTGCTGTCTGGATTCTCAAATGCGATCAGGCACGTGGATGCATGCACGGACGAATGAACGCTTCGCCCCACTCATCATCATTCACTCTGTGGATATGCTCTGATTTTTTAAATGTGAAGCATTTCTTAGCGAACTTCAACGACTCTGAGCGTATCTGTCTATCCATCTAGCCGCCTACGAATTTTAGCTCTCCTGGCCGTTTCGATAATGTATCGCTACCAAACTTGGTATGGCATAACATGACTGTATGGAGAACATAGTTGACAATTTATTCACAACATGAAAATCATGACATGTAAGCCATGAATGTCATGATTTACATTTAATGGTCCTGCAGCTCTTGCGGTGGTTTCCTTCAAATGGCATGTTGCAAAACTGGTGTAATATGACATGATTGCATGGCAAACACAAGCGGCAGGCCCTAGCATAAAAATCATGACATGCTTGCCATGTAACAACATGACTACATGGCATGCTCATGATGCACTCGCAGCCGTTTTGCTAGCGTCACATATACCAAATTTGGTATTACAGTATGTGAATGGATGACGAAGGTATGATACTGGTACAAACATGATAAACATGACGTGCATGTCATGACTACATGCCACGCTCATGATGCGCTCGTGGCTGTTTCGCTAGCTTCACATGTACCAAACTGAGTATTACGCGACTTGAACGGACGATTTAGGTAAATGACACATCCAAACATGATAATCACGACATGCATGTCATGTAACAACATGACTACATGCCACACTGATGATGCGCTCGTGGCTGTTTCGCTAGCTTCACATATGCCAAATTTGGTATTACGTGATGCCAATGGATAACTAAGGTATGTGACCGGTGGAAACATGATAATCATGAGATGCGGGTCATGTGAAAACATCAGCACATGCCACAGTCAAGGCGCCAGTACATTTCGATGCGACGCAGTGCGCGTGCTCGCCAGCGTTCATTTCGTCGCGTCACGCCGGGGTTGCCGCTCCAGGTACCGGTTCTGCCATGTACTCGCAGGCATGCGCCGTGCTGTGTTCCTTTCACGCATACGTGTTTCAGCACATCCAGCTCCCCCGCGAAAAAAGGGAGATGCAGTGTTGTCTGAGTAACGCATTGGCGTGAAATGCACCTTGTCGCATTTTGGGCCGGTTGCCGTCAGGCCGCGCCAAAGGACGCTGGTCGCGACAGGTGTCAGACCATAGAGTGCTGGTGTTTTGATAATGTAGCATTGCTGTGCCCAGCGTGCACGCGCGTCAATGCTACATTGGAGTATATTGGGCCCTTCATGATGGGCTCGTGGCTGGTTTGCTAGCTCCACATATACCAAATTTGGTGTTACGTGATGTCAATGGATGACGAAATATATGACTGGTGCAAACATGATAATCCTGACACCCGTGTTATGCAAGAACATGTCATAGCGTGCTCGCAGCTGTTCGTTAGTTCCACATATACTAAATTTGATATCATGTGACGTGAATAGATGAGAAAGGTAAACGACACATCCAAACATGACAATTATGACATAGAAGTCATGTACGGCATCATTTACCTCCACCTCGTAAGGTTGTGCTGATTTGAAAGGTTTATCAATATTTCTCATTTGTGCTTTGCATATCATAGATTGCCACTGTATGTGAGATCTGCGAATTTTTTTATCACCTATTAACTGTGGTGCATACCCACTTCAGGCATGATTCCTCATCGTTATGAGCGACTACCGTATATACTCGTGTAAGGGCCGCCCTCGTGTAAGGGCCGCACCCCAACTTTGAAAGCGGATATTTCGAAAAAAAAAAAAAAAACAAAAGTTCAAAATGTCCCGCCAGAAAAGTGTAGTTAGTTCATTTACAGCCAGATGGCGCTGCACGCTTTTCCGCTTTTATTCTACTTCCGCCGACGCGCCGACCACGCTGTTGACAGCGCGCCGCCATATTTGCCTTGTGCGGCCTCTTTGTTGGCATCGTTCCTAGCATCGTGTCGATACGTTGGCAGCGCGACTTCAGATCGGTGTCGTCGGTGTCACTTTGTTGGTTGTAGTGAACCCTGCAGAAGCCAGCGCACGTGACGGACGATGGGCCGGCATCTGAGATCATTCACTGCAGCATTTAAGCTGCAAGTGATTGACTATGCCGAGGAGCACGGGAAGCGGGAAGCTGGACGAAAGTACGACGTCGATGAGAAGCGCGTGCGTTACTGGATGAATCAGAAAGATGCCCTCGCCGCTACTAACAGGAGCCGAAAGGCGTTTCGCGGGAAAAAGTGCAAGTACCCGCAACTCGAAAGCGAGCTCGTCAACTACGTCGTCGACATACGAAGGGACGGCTACGCCGTATCGACTGACATGATACGCGTCAAAGCCCTCAGCATCGCTCGCCACATGGAAATACCCCCGGCACAATTCAAGGCAAGTCGGGGCTGGGCTACGCGGTTTATGAACCGTAACCAGCTTTCTATTCGGCGCCGAACGACGATTTGCCAAAAACTGCCGCGCGAGTACGAAGACCACGTCATTAAGTTTCATCGCTTCGTGAATGCTCTCAGGAGGGAGCATGAATACGACCTGTCCCAAATTGGGAATGCGGACCAGACACCTGTGTGGTTCGATGCACCGGAAAGCACCACAGTGGATTTAAAAGGTGCGAAAAGTGTGTCTGTGCGCACGACTGGTGCAGAACGCCAAAGGTGCACTGTGATGTTGTGCATCACGGCAGACGGCAGGAGGCTTCCGCCGTACGTCGTATTTAAAAGGAAGACTCTCCCAAAAGAGAAGTTCCCTCAGGGAATCGTCGTACGTGCGCAAGAGAAGGGCTGGATGTCCGAGGAACTGGTCGTTGACTGGATTAAGACCGTCTGGGCAAACAGACCTGGAGGGCTGTTACAACGGAAAGCCCTCCTTGTTTTGGACAGCTTTAGGGGCCACTTGACCGACCGCGTCAAGAACCGAGTTGCCGCAACTCGTACGGACTTGGCCGTCATTCCCGGTGGCCTGACGAGTGTGCTGCAGCCGCTCGACGTATGCGTCAACAGACCATTCAAAGTGGAATTTCGCCGATGTTACTCTGAATGGATGGCTGGAGGCGTCCACGAGAAGACCCCTACAGGACGGCTGAAGCGGGCGTCGCTCCAACAGGTGTGTGAATGGATTTTGAATGCGTGGCGTGCCATGTCAGTAGAAGTAGTTGCTAAAAGCTTCAAGGTAACGGGAATTTCGAACTCCATGAACGGCACCGAAGATGACCGTCTCTGGGAAGACGCGGACGCCGAGGCGAGCTCCTCCGAGAACGAGGACAGCGAAATGGAATCCGAATAAAAACATTTCTGGCATGTCATTTGTGACTCTTGCACTCTGCTACTGTTGCATAAACAGTACAGACCTTTGGCCTGTACTGCCTGTACTAAATCGGCCTGATTCGTGTAAGGGCCGCACCTAGCAAAATTTTCGAAAAAAAAGTGCGGCCCTTACACGAGTATATACGGTACATGAAGGGTCGGCACAAAATTTTTTTAGAGTGTTTTGTGGATACAACATTTCTCAGAAGAAGGAGGAAAAACAGCAAAGCGAATGCTGCTCTACAACCCAGAAATTATTATTATTAATGCCTGAGTAGGTATCCAGTAAATGTGTTCGCAGAAATTACCCAATGAGTGTTTAGAAAAGGCTCTAAAAGGCCTCTCTTGTAGATTTTGCTGTGGCTGTGCTGCGCCTTCTGCTCAGGCATGGCAGTTCTTTTTTTCACTTTTGTTGCATTCGTTTTCCACCTGCAAAGTCTCTCAAAAAGGCTCAGTGCAAACAGCACCTTATGGTTCTAAAAGGTCCGTGATTATTCTAGATCACTCTGTCAAGATTGTACGCGAAATGCGAACACTCGATATTATTCTAGAGCTTGCGCGACGACCTGTGATAAGGCTAAATATTCGACAGCACATGCATAAACGCCGACGTGCTTCGCGGCTTGTCAGTTCAACGACTGTGGACGCTCAGTTCGCCGCTATCCATGCCAGTATGTATCGCTGTACGCTGTCTTTTTGTTCACTGGCCAGGAATTCAGCCGAGCAAACAATTTCGTCTTGGACCTACACTCTGCTCCCTTTGTCGACGTCACGACACCGTGACATCCGAGTGAAAATAAGAAATGCGCGTGACAAATGCCACTCGCATTACTTATTTTTAAAGACAAATATGTTTATTTGGCCGAGAACTATGGCATAAGCACTGTCTATCAGCTAAATGTTAAGTGGATATCGAGTTGGAAAATGGTTATTCAGCATATAGTGCTTTTGTGTCGTCATTTTCTTCTCTGTCAGTGATTCATTTGTATTGGCCGTCGTAAGCAAGACCCTCCCTTTCATTCATTGAAGTAAACAGGAGGGGGAGTCACTGTGTTTGTATGTGTCTTGGTAGAACATGTTAGCTTTATCTTAACGATAAATTCTTAGTAGCATTATACTGCAGTGCATGAGAAGCTTGTTTGCTGTTGTTCAGCGTATTGTAATGAAGCGTTCTGTCATGGCGCATTCTCTCTTGAGAATATGTTTAATTAATTACATCAGTTTACTATAATTATAAGCACTTGTATAATTGCCAGTCTCACTGCAGTCACTCAGAGCTGTTTATGACCATTACTGCAGCTCTCAGCAAATACTAAAAGTGTATATTTTTTTTCTAAAATGATGCAGTGTGGTCAGACTGCTCCCTTTCAATTGGTCAGCTTTAAAGACTGCTGCTTGTTTTATTTTTTGCTAGTGGTATCTGCACAGACCAGCTTTTCTGTGGTCATGGTGCTCATTGCCAGAACTCTTTTCAGGAGCGAGAGCATCGGCGAGAGCTCAAGCGTCGTACACCCAAGATGAAACAGCTCAAAGTGAAGACGCTCTGAACTGTTGTGTGTGCCTGTGTAGGTTTGTGTGTGTGCGTGTGCTTCCAAAGCATCAAGTCAAGGCAGGCCTGAGGCAGCAAAGCATGTCCGTTGTGTGGTGGCTGGTGTGATCCTCCAAGTGGTCAACAGGGATAGTGAATGACACACGGGACTGTGCCGTGCATGGAAGGCCCTATCCAGATGAATTTATATGTTATAACATGTACAGGGAGCCGGGCTTAGAGAAACCCTCAGAAATGATATTGATGTACTTGAAACACTTATGTCAATCATACGAGCCTCGATCCTGAAACAGCATTAAAAATCATACACTGGCATAAAGGCCTTTCCACCAGTCATAGAAAGGAATTCATAGACATTCACAGACATATTTCAGTTGCCCTTGTGGTGGACCTTTCTCTGTCATCCTGTTTTTTCAAGGTACCCCACTGACTTCATTCAGTAAACAAATAGCACAAGTATGGCTCAGTTTATGTTGATGTCTCTTTTGACACTGATGGCATGTAGATAATGACGTCGAAGCTATTGGATGTAGTGGTTGAGCAGCATGCAGTGCGTGTCTCCATGCCAGTGACATAGATAAGCTCTTTCCATTGTTTGAACAATCTTAGCTATTTGTCTTGTTGGTTGGTATATGCCATAAGTGACTCTATCCCCTTTTGTAGCGAGTGGTACAGAGACTTTCAATATTGTCTGCAAAGAGCTGTTGTTCAACTTCTGGGACATGATCACTCAGTAAAAGTTTTACCTGTCTCCTTCAGAATTGTGTATTAGGTACAAATGACGCTGTTTTCGAAATCTCTCCAGGGTGTGGACATTATGTTGACGTATGATGCTTTGTCTCGTCATTTTCCTTACAGGTATGTCTTTCAGATTCCACTGTCAAACCAATAATGTGTGAATAGGTTGACTGGTATGCATTAATGCTTCACTTGTCGTTTTTTTTCCTGGTATAACTTCAGAAGTAATCATAGTGCAAATTAGGAATTTCTCTCCTTTTGCCATTGAATATTGTATACCACGAGCACAATGGGGTCTCAATGAATCAGTCTTGAGGAGAGCCCAGGGTTTTGCTTGAATTATCAGAAGTTCTCATAAATGTGACTCGCAGCGACATGCAAATTTATGGTGTATTGTTTATTGTTTCTCGGCAGTGGGAACTATACAGGAAGCTCAGCATGATTGTCATCGAATTTTTTATATGTCTTCAATTATACTGGTACAGCTTTTCTTGGGCTATACCAGTATGTACTAGTAGCCAGCTCCTCACCCTTTGACTCCGGAAAGGACACAAAGTTGTCTCTCTCTCTTGCAGCAATTGCACTGGTGCATATGCATGTGTGTAATAGGGAGCTAGAGAAGCGTATGGTGGCGCTGAGACTCTGGACAGGCAGGGCCATCTTTGGTGGAAAAGTAGAAATCGGGGATGCATTTCTGGCGTTTTTTCTTCCCGCCAACACGCTGCCGCTCGATAACGAGCTCGTGCAGAGCGCGCGCAGTGCGTTTGAGTCACTTCGCATTGCACCGCCTGCAGTGCGGCTTCAAAAAGACCTCCGAGGTGGACGAGCATTTCCAAAAAGTGAATTTAACAAAAAATGAGTAAAGCTCGTTAGTCAATGTGGAGCAGACGATAGAATACGAGAAGAATACACTGCGGAATGCATTTCTCCGGTCCGTGACAATACCGTGTACGACGTATGCCTCGAGGTAAGTATCATTTTGTGAGCATGAAGCCGCGAACTCTATAGATGTGCTGCATTGACATTTATGAAAATCATGTAATTGTTGTTTTGATGTGGTATCTAGCGGTAGCAGCTGTCTACTGTGATGTACAATCGTTTGGGGCATGCCAAAAAGTTAATAAAAACTAACCTAAACGGCCATGGCATTGAAATGTCCAAAAAGATTTAGAGTCATGGGCTCTATGTCAAGGGAGCATGACCCGCTGACTCCGTCGCGAGACAGCAAGCTAAGCTTTAACCACTGCGAGTCAAGGTGAAGTGCTTGCCTCGTTTATCCGGCTCTCGTATCATACCATTTCTCGTGAACAAGGCTCAATTTTGAGTTCCTCGGCAATCGATACAGCTTTAGACGTGGAGATGCACCCTTGATGTTGTCTGCACTGTTCTGGCAGCCCACGGCACAACAATACTTCGGACCTTGCCGGTGCTTCCGTGTGATTGCTTCTTCCATCGTGCAAAGGCCACTTCACACAGCGAGCGTCTCGTTTTAGCGTGCCAAGCTGATGGCACGGCGCCGAAGTTCCCCGCACCGACTGCAGAATGCGTTCTGTGCGTGTCGCACGTGCTACCGCTTCGGCAAAACACTGAGTTGCCTGCGCCCTCTGCCGCGTCTATCCCCAATTTTTCCTGACCTTGCCGCCAGAACCAGGCGTGGCCTTGTCGCTCCATAAACTTCAGCTTTGGTTCCCTATTAAGCGACAAACTGTGGTTGCCCATTCTCAGTGTACCAAGTGGCTGGTACATCCTAGGCATAAACAGGAGCGCAAAGCCAGATTGAAGGTGAAGAAAGTCCGTGCCTTACATGCAAGACGTTTCACGCAGGCCCAAAGGGATAAAGGAAAGTGTTGGGGTCCGGGTAGTTTTTTCATCCCCTGAAAAGCTTTTTAGTCTCTGCAGATCAACCTCTTGGTTAAATGGGAAAAGGGATTGCAGCAGTTTCGTCGAATGTTGTTCATACTCTTCATTAACATTGAATTTCAGTGTTTCTGCACAATCTCACTTTCAGAATTTTTTTATCGGCGCTAAAGTGAATGCAGGAACAGCGCTAAGCAAGCCAAGGCAGGCAGCCGTCATGTTGACAACATATGTCTCTGAGGCCTGGTAGTGCCCCGGTATATGCTACCTTAGGCATATCTTAAGTATATGCTATGCTATCTTTAGGATATCGCGTAACCACGGTTGCCACTGATCTTCAAGTGAATGTCTACAAACGACAATTGGCCAAAAGTCACCGATGTTTTCTAAGTTTTGCCAAAAAATTTATCACTTAGATAACGGTCACGTGGCCAGTGCCCAGAATCAAAAACGGGTTAGTGTGGGCTTAGACTTCGAACGCCTTTTTCGAGGAATTTTTGTTGAAGGTGTAATGCTATCTATTTGCATAGCCTGGGAACCTGAGGAGCCTGTAGTGTGACAACTAGTCGACACGGAACGGGAACAACTGCTTTTATTCTGTTTGGCACAAACACTTCAAAACTATGAGTGGGAGCCACTAAACAACGTCATAGTAGCGACTTCTACATCAAACATCTTCGCCTTTTGGTCAAGCATAAGTCCTGTAGAACCACTCTTCGGCCATTGCATGCACACATCATCGTGATTATCATCACTATCATCACGAACACCAGCATCAACACCAAATCGGTCACTTGTTCGTCACTCATCTTTACCATGGTACTTGGAGGACCTTGAATCCGGAGAACTGCTTGCTGCTGTGGCTCCGTTCCTTCTGATGGTGGTGGTTCTGGTTAGAAGGAGAAAAATGCGCCTGATTTCTGCAGCCCGGTATCACGGCGAAGCGCCTATTTTGAAGAAGCTTGGGGTGGCAATGATGCTGGGACAAGGTGACACCTGTTACACTGCCCAGTGATTCCACTCCTGTTTCAAACTGCTCCAAATTAGATTTACTGCGCCATCTTGATAATATCAACGGAAGTTGCGTCAAACTGCGTCAAAGTCCGGTTGGGAAGTGTCTATCACCAACAATAGCCACCCCGGCGCGTCGCACCATGCGCACCTTGTTCTCAGGGCCACTAAAGCTACAATCGCATACCTATAATTGTTCGGCTGAATAAACAGTGGTCGCGCGTGCATCCTAAGTAATCCACAATGCTATCTTCGTTTGGTGCCGACGCAACTACTGTTGTGCAAATTGTGACGTGTAGTCCAATCGTTAGTGTGAAACTGCGGCGGCGATTCATCGACATATGTCGTCTGTTCCAGGAACGGTGCTGATAGCTTGTTTGAAGAGTTGTGCAGCACGTAAATAAAGTAAATAAAGTGATTAGTGAATATCACTGCACGGGTGCCGCCAGTTTGTCGCTCACGTCTACTTCTGGAATGGCAATTTACTTTTCCGTGCTTCGCGTCGAATGAAGAACGCGTGAACGGTGGGAACGCGTTGACACTTTGCCTTTAACATTTTCTTGATTGCGAGAACTTCGACCGTTTATGGGTAGTCTCGGAAACGTTATTTTTTATGGCACCCAAAGCTTCTGATAATAATGTTTATGGTGTCGAATTGTACATCAAGGAGTTATGTTACAAAGAAGTTCAGTTTGAAACCACAAATTTATTCACAATTCTTCGGCATATAGAACAGTGGAAAGCCCTAGATTTACCCAGTGAATCAGATCATAAATGTATACATCTAATAATATTTACCAGAAATGAAACCATACAGAAAAGGCCTACTACATTAGGAGAGTTTAAATTATCACAAGAGCTAGGACATAATGGGCGGTTTGATGAAATAGTTGAACAAAACATAGAAAGCTCAGTCCAGCTAGACAACGTAATTGAGCAGATATATCAAAAATGGAAAAACTAAAAGAGAAGTTTTCAAGCACAATAAAACAAAGCAATTTAGAGAAAATAGCCAAACCATGGTGGACACCACAGTCGGAGATAGATAGGGGAAAAGTTAGGGCGCATAGAAGGCTATTTCGAAAATCCAAAAGAAGCAGTACTATGAAACGTTTGCAATATATAAAAAAATAATCATTGAAAGCAAACATCCTTCTTGGAAAGATTATTGCGTGAAGATTAGAGGGAGTGAGTAAAAACTTTATTGAACACGTCCGGCGTCATTGAGCGGGGTGGGGCTACAAGCACCCCGGCCTAGGTAGGTGACGGCCTCGAGTCCTTGGACCCGGGCGGCATCCTGGGCTTGCCGGACGGCCCACAGTTGATCGGCAAGGTCGTGGCTGAGCAGAGCCGCCTCCCATCGCGCCTCGCGGTTCGAGACTGTCATGTCTACCCGGTTCGTAGGGGACTGCTGCGCGTTACCGGTACACTTCCACAGCAAGTGCTGCAGCGTCGCTCTGGCTCTGCACGCCTTACACGCGTCGGACGTATAAATGCCTGGGTAGCAGAGGCGAAGGATCACCGGATGCGGGTACGTGTGTGTCTGTAGTTGTCTCCAGGCAGCCTGCTGTTTCTTGTTTAGTTTGGCGTGGGGTGGTGGATATTTGCATCTGTTCAGTCTGTAGTGTTGCGTGATGTCTCTGAAAGTGGTCATGCGATCCCCCCACGTCCATTCCCGCATCGCTGTCGAAGTGTGCGAGACATCGGGGACTGTCGGCAGGCGTCGCAGCTCGGCGTGTAAGTCCTCGAGCCGCGGCGTGGGCAGTCGCGTTGCCCGCAAGCGGAGGGTCCGTGTGGACGGGGGTTCATACGAAAAACTGTCGTTTTTGCGGCAGATGTTGCGTTCGTGAATTTGGAGAATGCAGGCTGCTTCGCGGGAGATCCGGCCGCTGGCGTAGTTGCGTATCGCTGCCTGCGAGTCGCCTATTATCACCTCGGCGTCCGTGGTGGCTATCGCGAGGGCTATGGCAGCTTCTTCGGCCGCCTCCGTCTTTTCTGTGCCTATCGTCGCACTCGTGACGCAAGTTCCTACATGATCCGTGATCGCGACCGCGAAGCCGCGGTGGCAGTTGTAACGGGCCGCGTCCACGTAAACTGTGTCTTTGCTATTGCCGAATTTCTTTTCAACGTCTTGGGCGCGCCTGTTGCGCTGACCGATGTGATGTGTCGGGTGCATGTTCTTAGGCAACGGCACAACGACGATGCGCTCGCGAATACGTCTGGGTATCGCGACCTTTTTGCCGCGCTGCGTATGGTAGTTGATACCCAGTGTCTCGAGGATGTGTCGACCAGTTCTGGTCTTCGCCAGACGTTCGTACTGGGCGAAGTTGTGTGCTTCGATTATCTCATCTAGAGTATTGTGCAACCCCAGCTCGAGAAATTTTTTCCGTGATGGTATTGGCCGGTAATCCGATGGCGCGTTTGTGCGCCTTGCGGACGAGACAATCTAGTTTGGTGCGTTCAGTCGCCTGCCACTTGAGGTAGGAGGCGACGTACATTATATGGTTCATAACGAAAGCATGTACCAGGTGAATTGCATTGCTTTCCTTCATTCCGCTATGCCGATTTGTTATTCATTTCAGCAACCGGATTGTTTCATTGACCGCGCCCTCTAGTCTGCGAACGGTTTCGCCGTTGTGGCCGTTGGCGGACAGGCGCAAGCCCAGTACCCTAATGGTGTTAACTTGTGGGATGACAGCGCCGTCTGATGTGCGTACATTAATTTCTCAATATGCGCACTCAAATGCGGAATCGACGTTCTTGGGTTTACGGCCCCTGCGCGAGGGTCTATAGAGCAGGAACTCCGATCTAGCGGCGGAACATTCGAGGCCAGTGTCGCGAAGGTAGTCCTGCACCACGTCGACGGCTTCCTGCAGCGTTTGCTCTACGTGGCCGTCATTTCCCTCGGCAATCCAGAGGGTGATATCATCGGTGTACAAGCTATGGTGGAGGTCTTCTATCTCAGCGAGTTCTCGTGGTAATCCGACAAGCACGAGGTTAAAGAGCATGGGCGAGATTACGGAGCCCTGCGGCGTGCCCGTACAACCCATATATATGTCTTGCCATTCTAGTCCGCCGATCGCTAATCGGGCCTGGCGGCCCGTAAGAAAATCCCGTACGTAGTGGTACGTTCTCTCGCCCAGTCCCAACGCTCGTATACTTTCAAGTATCGCAGCATGGCTAACGTTATCGAACGCCTTTTTGAGGTCGAGCCCGAGTATCGCTTTGGTGGATCGTGTGGGATTGTCTACGATATCGTGCTTGAGTTGAAGCAT